GTGTCCGGGCCCTGCCCAAGGTGTCCGGGCCCTGCCCCAGGGCCTCCCTCCTCCACGTGCAGCCTGTAGGGCCCTGTCCCAGGGCCTCCCTCCTCCTCGTGAAGCCTGTAGGGCCCTGTCCCAGGGCCTCCCTCCTCCTTGTGAAGCCTGTAGGGCCCTGCCCCGGGGCCTCCCTCCTCCGCAGTTCCCTGCATCCGGGGCTGTCCGAGGTGTCCGGGCCCTGCCCCAGGGCCTCCCTCCTCCATGCACAGCCTGTAGGGCCCTGACCCAGGGCCTCCCTCCTCCTTGTACAGGATTCCAGGCCGTCCTCCATCCCTAACCAACTCCACCTGGAGCTCAGTCCTGGACCTTAAAGGCACTGAAAACGGGAGGGAACGAGGAAAAGGTCCCACTCTGATCTGTGTAACGCCGGCTGGGGGTGCCCTCCCGCCTCCGCAGTGGGCGGCACTCCCCACCCAGCCCAGTGCCGAGCCTGAATGCGACACAAGGTGGTCGTGTGCATGTTCTAGGAGCCAGGCTAGTGGCGTGAGGAAAGGGGTGGTGGGCCAGCTGGCACCCCGCCCCTGCAGGAAGCTTCCCCGGTGAGCAGGGCCAGGCCCACCCTCCCGCTCCCAGCCCCGAGAGGAACACAAACACCAGGACACAGGACGTGTAGAAAACTGCCTTTATTCTATTAGTAGTTGGAAAAGTAACTGGTACAGAAACAGTTCAGTCAGCGGAGGACAGCCCGAGCGCACAGAACTGGGGGCTCCCCGGAGGGAACCTGGCACAGCGAGGAGCAGGGCGACCGAGCCAGGCCCGCAGTCCAGGTGCGACAGCTTGTGCCGCCTTTGGAAGCAACTGCATTCCTCAGGCACGGAACCAAATTCCTGTTTACTCAGCCCAGCTCTGGGGAGGGGACTGGGATATGTGGGGTGAAAACGGGTGATATGGCCATCTTTTATCAGAGAAACCGACCAAGCGGGAATTTTAAAAATGAATCTTCCATCTGACTTTATTTTCAAATACACTTTCTTTTTTAAAAAAACCAATACACTTTCTGTGGGGATGACAAATATCAGTATTAGGAAATCCAATTATACAAAAAATACTACATCTAGTTTGGGTAGATATATTTATTTTTGGTAACATACATTAGGTGGCACTAATTACACAGTAACTATAAGGTAACTAACATGAAACCACAGAACTGTAACTGCCACAGCTGCAGGACCCGGGCCTCCGCTGAGCACGTGGAAACTGGATGCCCGTTCCAGAGGCACAAGGAAACCTGCTCAGGAGTCAAGCCCCGAAGGGGCAGCTCCCAGAGTCCCTTGCAGCTGACAGATGACAGGCAAGCATGTTAGTTATGAAGTAGTTACAGCCTAACTCACAGAAGTTACCATTTCTCTTTCTAGAAAGAAGCAAGAAGTGAAGGGATTCCTCGAATTAGCGCCTGTGTATCGGGTGGGGGTGCAGAGGAGGCTGTTAGAGCGGTGGCAGAGGACCCACGGGCCAGATCATTAATAATCATGGTTGGCTTCTAAATACTGGTAGCAAGATGACTTCTGATTTGTAATCTTAGGTAAATTATAGATAAATGAAAAAGGCCAGGAATCATACACTAAGATTAATAAACAGCACTTCAAAATGAACCGCCTGAGGGCTGTGCTCGCAGCGGGCTCACAAAACAAGGCACCCGGATTTCTTCTTCCCACGTCTGGCCTGCAGGGCAGCTCTCGTGGCCATTTCGAAAACCTCCCTCACTCCGTCTTTGGTCTTTGCTGAGCACTCCATGTACCCAAAAGCGCCAATCCTGTTTGCCATATCTCTGCCTTCTTCCGGTTTGACTGGCTCCTAGCAGAGAGAGAAGAGTGTTATATACATACAGTGAGAAGGTGTATTTAATTTCAGCTAAGACCTCTTTTAAAAGCTACCAAATCCCCAACTTTGAGTTCTGTCTATGAAATTCTTATGTAGTGAGCCCCAACCCGATATAATGTCCCTCTCACACGAGCTCTTCTCTGGGGAGAGGCCAGAGAAGCCCTGTAGGTTAACATTAAGGAGGGACTGGAGGACACAATGACTCAAGCTGCTGATCCAGGCAAACCTCTGGTCCTCCTGTAGCTTCCCAGAGGACGAACGCTCCCGGAGAAAATAGATCCTGACCTTGACATTCAGTCAGAGAAACCCCAGTGGGGAGAACCTGGGGTGAAGACCTGCGGACTCTCCTCCTGCCACGGGGAAGCCCCACCACTGGGCCACCTGGCTTCTCCATCATCACCTTTAAAGGCATCGGGGCCCCGGGCCTTGACTCCCCGCCCTCAGAACTTCCTGACCCTTCAGTTGCCACCAATTTATTTTGGTCTCACATATACCAAGGTAATAACTGAAGAGGGAAATCCAGAGCCCGGTCAAATTCCTGCACTTGGAGCATTGACGCCTGCTGTGACGGGCCCTTCCGAGGCAGGCAGTCCGTGGAGCGTAGCACTACCTCACGGGAGATTCCATCTCATATGACCAGACCCCAGGCAATAAGGGCCAGATGGAGAGAGAGGTTTCTGTTGGGCTCCCTGAACCTCCACTTGGGCCCTCAGGTTTAAGAATGCTACAAGACCTGGCCAGTGTGGCTCAGTTGGTTGGAGTGCCATACCATGCACCGAAAGGTGGTGGATTTGATTCCCGTTAGGGTGTGTGCGATCATTGTCTTCTCCCCACCCCCACTCAATGAAAACCTATCCTCAGGTGAGGATTAAAAAAAGAAAAAAGAATGCTACAAGACAGAACCCTGCCCCGTCCATGCCTGCTTCATCTTGGCTAGCTCCCGCCTTGTGTGCTCATCATTTCGAAGATCCTTCTTGTTCCCAACCAGGATGATGGGCACATTGGGACAGAAATGCTTGACTTCCGGAGTCCATTTTTCTGGGATGTTTTCTGAAAATAGCGAAATGCACATAATTCAGGGATACATAATGTTCTATTGCTAAGAATCTCCAAGACCCTAATTAAACTGTGAATATGTCTGTCTCCTCCGTGTGCAGCACGGCTAGAGCGGTCCAGTTCCTGAGTAGGGACGGCTGGGGACTGAGAAAATGAAAGAAAGAGACAGACACAGAGACAGAAAGAAAAGGCTGGGGCTGGGTGGGACCACTGTCCTCTGATGCAGACAGGGACAGAGACAGTGACCCCGGGCCAATACAGAGTATTTATTTTATACAGCAAAACCCAGGAAGTTTTCTAAAAGTCAAGACGAAAAAGATTATTTGCATTCTTGGGGCTTGGCTGGATTTAAATAACAAAACCCACCCCCTGGCACCTGGGCTAAAGGTCAAGCTGACAACACCTGCCTTTTGGCAAAACGTGTTTCCAGGACCTGGCTTTGCCAAACGCCACTGGATTTAGCTGACAATAATTAAAGAAATGCCCATGTGCCTTCCCAGGTGCTCTCTACAAAACTGCAAAGAAACTACTTCAGAATCATGCTGGCCATTTAATGGCATTTCGCTAGTTTAAAGACTAGTTTTAATTTTGCCAGGAAAAGGCAAAATTTAACCCCCGACCATTAGGCACAGAATCACCAGCTGCTGTCAGTCCCACTACGAAGCGCAGTCCTGCGGAGGTGGGGCCCAGGGGAAGACTCCGGAGCAGCAAAGGATGCATCAGTGCCCAGGGTGACTCCACAGTGGTGCCATCTGCCCATGCAGGGAGGCTCCCCATGCCCATCACCATCCCTGCTGGCAGGGGACTCTGACCACACCCCCATTCTGGGGCTGCAGCTGGCCCAGTGTCCACACGTTCTCGCTACACCTTGCTCCTGGGCCCTCGGCATGTTCCTACCCTGTAGGTTACTGGTATTTCCAATGGCTTACGAGCTCTGAACATGCGTGACAGCCAGCTGCAGCTTCCTGCTGGCCTGAGTATGGCTGTAAGGACATCAAGGTGGACGAGCGCGCTGGGTGCAGCCTCCACACCCTCACTTCGGGCCCCTCAGTGTCAGGGATGGTTTATAAAGTGGGGAAAGGAGTAATCCCTACCTCACACCGGTTATTCCGAGTCAATGCATGCAAAGCACTTAGTATGATGATGATTTCAATGGTGCCGATTATGATTTGAAACTATATTTTATAAGTAAGCTGCTCACTCTCTGACTTCAAGGCTAGTGCCTTGTTTTATAGTGTGAGGTCAGTATTAGTCATTTTCTGAAGGAGTGGCTTCTGAAACATGTGACCAACTGAGCTAATATGGCAGGTCCAAATCTCTCATTATTAGCTAAGATGCTTTAGAAAAGGGCTAAGAGAGGACTTGAAAACACCACCGGAAATAGCAGTCCCCAGTCTAGATACAGTGAGGCAACATGAAGCACTAGAAAAGGTACAGGCACCCTGGAAAGCCTTCCCCCAATCTTAGTTCTGTCTTTGGAACTCGCCTGCTTCATAAAGTGGACACAGGGCAGCCTCGGGAGACCCAGGCTGAAAAGGACCAGGGCCCAGGTTACACACATCCAAGGCTCTCGGACTCTGGCCACTGAGGAGTCCTTCTCTGATGCTCGCCTGCTTGATGCCCAGAAAGGACCTGAGAAACTCGGTGTCAGCCAGGCACGCGGGCAATGACAAACTTCAGGCTGCAGAGCTACTCACCTAAACTATCAGGGCTGTCGATGGAGAAACACATCAGGATAACATCCGTGTCCGGGTAGGAGAGGGGCCTCAAGCGATCATAATCCTCCTGTCCGGCTGTGTCCCACAAGGTCAACTCGACCTGTGGGAGGAAAAGTAAATGCCCAAGTGCAAGGTTAATCCCACTACCCACTTTCGTGGCTTTCTGTGTGTATTTTTTAGAGGAAGGGAGGGAGAAAAAAAGGGAGAGGAGGATGGGGATGGGAGGGAGAGAGAGACATTGATTTTTTTGTTCCACTTATTTATGCATTCACTGGTTGAGATTCTTGTATGTGCCCTGACGGGACTGAACTCGCAAACTTGGTGTATTGGGACGATGCTCAAAACAACTTAGCTAATCCGGCCAGGGCTCACTACCCACTTACAAAAGGGGATGTTGGCCCAGCCAGTGTGGTTCAATGGTTGAGCATTGACCTATGAACCAGGAGGTCACGGTTCAATTCCTGGTCAGGGCACATGCCTAGGTTGTGGGCTTGTCCCCAGTAGGGGGTGTGCAGAGGTAGCTGATCAATGACTCTCTCATCACTGACGTTTCTATTTCTCCCTTCCCCTGAAATCAATAAAAATATATTTAAAAAAGGGGGGAGGCAGATGTTTACCATAGTGAATTCAAATAGCAGACTGTCCAAAACAGTAAAACACAGGAGTGTTCCACTTTTATTAGAATCAAGCCTGAAGGTGGAAGGTGTGTTCAAGTTGTTTTAGGCTACATTCCTCAGAATTGCAATTTTACAAAGAGATCCAGAGAATGGAATAAAGTGCATAATTCAAAATGTCAAAAGAAAAATAACTTTATAGCCTATAAGAAGAATTTAATTATAAGTAACATTTAGTGGATGAACAAGAGGAGAAATCAAACTGTAAGTAATATTCTACCTGGCGTACAAGGCAAGACAAGTAGAAACCGAGCTGTAATTTGTCTGGTCACTCTGCCCCAGAAGGAAAACATGGCGACGGGAATGTGCCTGCGCTGGAGGGTGAGGAGAGACACCAGCTGGGTATGAGGTCTCAGCGGAGAGGAAGGCCTCTGGCCCTGCCTTTACTGCTCACAAAATGTCAGAATGAAAGCGTCACGTAAGGTGGGAGGACACTCCGCTCACGCCTGGGCTCTGGGCATGGGTCCTCTCTCAGGCTGCCCAGCACGCACTGCAGCCGCCCTGCGACTTCTTCTGACCAGAGTGGATTTTAACTCCTTCTGTTCGAGGCCCTTCGGGGCCCAAGGAGCTCTCCCTTTGATGCTTGGAATACTCTTCTCCCGGCACCTCCACACCCTGACTGCACTTTCTCAACGCCATTCCTTCTCTAAAGTGGGTGGCCAATTGTCTCTTCAACCCTCAGCCTCCGCCCCAGGATGCGCCTCCTGCCACCGCCGTCAGGCTCCTTGCACTGCCATCAGGGACACACCTCGGCTTGGTGTGGATCGAGGAGATACTGACCCCCAATCCTCACAACTGGTCTGACCTCAGGATGGTACAGCTCATTCACTCTCTGCCACATCCCACTGCCCTGGCCCCTCCAAGCCTCCTGGGTGTTCAGTCGGACACGCCCACCGTCTGTCTCCTGATAAATGGTCCCGGTGTCGATGCTGCTGAAGGTCTGTCGCATGTCGAAAGGGGCCTCCCCACTTGTGGTAGCCGTGTTCCTGGGACATGGGCACTGAGAATCTGATGGTTCCCAAGGTGCTGGCAGTGCTGCTCTTCAGTGCCCCCGCCCACTGTGGGGCTGCTGAGTCGCTGAGGTAGGAAGCTGGGCTGTGATACCTCTTCCAGATCCAGCATCCTTACTTAAGGGTGTGCTCTCCCTGCTGAGAGGGCTCGCCTACCTTGCCAGGGTCCGGTATATTCACAGTTGACAGTGCAAGAAAAACTCACAGACCATCACGCAGGTTTTAAGTCAAGGTCCCTACATTTCTCATGGATAAGATCCTGGTTGTTCTAAGACCTCCAGGTACAAACAGTGCTTCCAAGAGAACAGAAAGGCCATTACTGGCTCCAAAACATGCGCACTGACTTTCCCAACCAAGGCCACAGGCACAGAGCACCCGGCAGCTACTCTCTCTGCAGGGAAGGACAGGATAAAACCAGCAATATGCACGCACCAGGCATCTGAGAACCCAAGCTGACCTGCTTCCCCTCAAGCCTGGGTCTTTGTGTTGTGTGGCATCTCAGTGGACAAGAGGCTGCTACAGGACAGCAGGCGCCAAGATCTCAGCACATTTCAGCTCAGTCTGTCACAATTGGGCCGGGTGTCTACACAAAACCACTCTTCTGGGCTCCCAGAAACACGTGTATCCAAGCATCAATGCAGAGAACTGACTCAGGTTATACTGGCAACACTCTGTACTGATGGACCCCCTGCAGGACAGGCCCCAAAGTTCTGCCAGGCTGAAACTTACTGTTGCCCCTCCCCCATCTATTCTTTTTTTAAAAAAATATATTTTTATTGTTTTCAGAGAGTAAGGGAGAGGGAGAGAGAGATAGAAACATCAACGATGAGAGAGAATCACTGATTGGCTGCCTCCTGCATGCCATCAACTGGGATCAAGCCCGGAACTGAGCACGTGCGCTGACCAGGAATCGAAGCAGTGACCGCTTGGTTCATAGGCTGATGCTCAACCCCGGAGCCACGCTGGCCAGGCCCCCATCTCTTCTTGACCAGAAAGGTGCCTTGTGCCCCCTGACGGCAGGAGAGCGATCACTGGGACCCACAAGGCAACGGGGTAAAATGGGCCACAGGCTGCACCAGGAGGTTTGAATTCAGCCCCATTTGTAAAGCGCTTTGGTGCTTCCAAATGCTTCCAGCTACTAGAACCCTGATGTCACCTGCAAAATGAAGGCGACTCAAGAGTCAGGTGGCTTCCTCATGATCACAGGCTATCAGCACATCCATGAGGCCTAGGGTTCCGAGCAGCTAGCCTAACGTGCTTTCCACACGAGTGCCACACACCGGGCTAAGTAACACCGGACAGAAAGGGACAGTAGGGAGCTGGAAAATGAGAAGGGAGAAAGGAGATGGAATTATGAAGCCAGCTTAATAGGTGCTAGCAGCACAGCCATGTGACTGAATGCCCGAGAGGCCCGAGTGTGCTGGAGAAGAGCCCCTTGTTCTAGTTTTCTTTCCAGCTGACCAGCCTGTGCTGAGAATTTCATTCCTCCCTGCAGGAAAGATGCAATTGAGTCAACAGAGGCAACTTGTCTTTGTTAAAGACAAAATGTTTTAAAAATTAAATTTGAGGCCTGGACAATGTAGCTCAGTGGCTGAATGTCAACCTATGAACCAGGAGGTCACTGGTTCAATTCCCAATTAGGGCACAGGCACTGGGTTGTGGGCTCAATCCCCAGTGTGGGGCGTGCAGGAGGCAGCCGATCCATGATTCTCTCTCATCATTGATGTTTCTATCTCTCTCCCTTTACCTTCCTTTCTGAAATCAATAAAAAAAAAAACTAAAAAAAATCTGTAGACTTCCAATAAAAATAAAAATTACATATGAGGATGTTTGTTGTCTAAATGCCACACTGCTGATGGTGTTAACTCTGAGAGTCATAATGAATAAGGACCTTTCAACCTAGTAATCTCATACCCAGCACTAAATATAGCCAAAACAGCACATATACTAAGGTTTTCCCAAATGAAATACATATGAATATGGACAATTTAAAAATGAACAAAGTTGGGCTATGAAAACAGGATGAGAATGAAACTCTCATTCTAACATTTTTGTTCTTGTTATACTGTGTACTGAAGAGACAAAAAGGCCCGATTCTCTCTAGACTACATGGATAGCCTAACATGCAAAATTAGTACCATTGTTATGGAAAGTGGACTCACCTGCTTTCCATCCACTTCAATGTCTGCCACATAGTTCTCAAACACCGTAGGCACATACACCTCTGGGAACTGGTCCTTGCTAAAAACGATGAGCAAGCAAGTCTTGCCACAGGCTCCATCGCCAACAATCACCAATTTCTTCCGGATGGCAGCCATTGCTGAAAAATAGACAAAGTATTATCTAGATTGCACACGAAGCCATAATAGCTTTAGGCTATGATTCACTTTTCCAACCATGGGGCACAAGCCTCTATTAGCACACCCAAATATAAAATGCCAGTACATCTTTCCAGTTGGCACCAAAATATCATACCAAAGAACTTATAACAAACACTAGAGGCCCAGTCCATGAAATTCATGCACAGGTAGGGTCCCTAGCAGCTGCCAGCTGCCAGCTGGGACCTCCCGTCCCCTGGCTGCCTGCTGCCATCACTGGCTGGGGCCTCCCTTCCCACAGTTGGCCGGCTGCCCCCACCCTCTGGTCGAACTCCTGGTCGAGAGAACAATTTGCATATTAGGCTTTTATTATACAAGATTCTACTTAATGGTAAAAAACCTGAAATCTTTCCCCCAAGATCAGGAACAAGGCAAAGATGTCCATGCTTGCCACTTCTACCCATCCAATATGATACTGGAGGCAATTAGGCAAGAAAATACAAGACATACATATGGGAAAGGAAGAAATCAAACTATCTCAACTCACAGATGATAGATCTATACAATCCACTAAAAAACTATTAGTATTAATAAATTCAGCAAGATTGCAGGATACAAGATGAACATACAAAAATGAATTATATTTCTATACCCTAGCAATGAACAAATTGAAAATGAAATTAGGAAAACAATTTCACTTACAATACCATAAAAAAGGAATACATTTAACAAAATAAGGACAAAACTTACTCTGAAAAGTACAAAACATTGAGAGACATTAAAGAAGATCTAAATAAATAGAGACATTCAACACATGCAATACTTCCAACAATAAAGATTTTTTTAAAAAGAGACATTCATGTTTATGAAACGGAAGACAATATATTAAAGAACAAAGTTGCAGTCTCACACTTCCTGACTTTAAAACTTAATCCCCCCTCACACACACAACAACCTACAGTCATCAAGACAGCATTTCACTGTCACCTAGACAGACACAGATCAATGAATAGAACTGAGTCCAGAAATAAGCCCTTATATTTAGAATCAAATGATTTTCAACAAAGATGCCAAGACAATCCAATGGAGAAAAGAAGTCTTTTAACTCAAGATGGATTATAGGTCCAAATGTAAGATCCAGAATCATAAAACAGTTTATTTTTTATATATATTTTTTTTACTGATTTCAGAGTGGAAGGGAGAGGGAGAGAGAGAGAGAGAGAGAAACACCCTGGCTGCCTCCTGCACACCCCCTACTGGGGACTGCAACCAAGATATGTGCCCTTGACTGGAATCGAACCCAGGACCCTTCAGTCCACAGGCCAACGCTCTATCCACTGAGCCAAACCAGCCAGGGCTTGTTTAGAATCATAAAACAGTTTTAGTTTTTAAAAAATGTGATGAAATACACATAAAATTTACCATTTTAACAATTTTTTATTGTCAGTTTAGTGGCATTACATATATTCACATTATTATGCAACCATCACCACCATCCATCTCCAGGACTTTTTCCGCCTCCAAGACTAAACTCTATACCCATTAAACACCTAACCCTCTTTCCTCTCCCTCCGCCCCTGGCAACTACCATTCTACTTCCTGTCTCTATGCATTGTACTTCTCTAGCTATCTCATATAAGTGGAATCATAGAGGATTAGCCTTTTTTTTTTTTGGACTGGCTTATTTTACTCAACATCAAATCTTGAAGGTTCAAACATGTGGTGCGGGTCAGAATTCCCTTTCTCTTTAAGACTGAATAGCATCCCATTGTGTGTACAGACTACATCTGTTCACCCATCACCTCCTGACAGACACTTGGGTGGCTTCCACAGTCCAGCTATTACACTATTTATTACAATACACTGTAAGCAGTGTATTCACAGATGTATTACCCCAGCAGCCAAAGGAAAAAATAGGTAAACTGGACTTCATAAAAATTTTAAAAACTTGTGCAAGAGACACCATCAAGAAAATGAAAAGACAAAACCACAGACTAGAAGCAAATGTTTACAAATAACACGATAAGGGGCTTGTACCCGGACTACAGAAAGAGCTCTTACAAACCGACAACAAAGCAGCTGAGGAGGCGGTCCGGCTCTGGGTCTTTTATTTCAGGGTCTCCCTGGAGGCTGCAGTTGATTTGGATCCAGAATATATAAGTAACTCAATAATAAAGACAAATAACCCAATTTAAAAATGGGTAAAGGATATGAATAGATATGAGCCAGCAATTCTACTCCTAGATATTTATCCGAGAGAAATAAAAACATATCCACGCAAAAACCTGTACATGGATGTTCATAGCAGCATCCATTATAGTAAAAAAGTAGAAACAACCCAAATATCCAATAACTGATGAATGGATAAAGATGTGATCTATCTATACAAAATATTATTTGGCAATAAAGAGGGGGAGTAAGTATTGATATTTGCTACATTTATCAGAATGGATGAACCCTGAAAACTTTACATATGTGAAAGCAGCTAGTCACATATTGTGTGCTTCTAATGAAATGTTCAAAACAGGCAAATGCAGAGCAGAAAGTACAGTCCACTGGTGGTGGCCTAGGGAAAGCAGAAAGGAGAGGAAAAGACTACGGAATGACCTTTATGGGGAATAGGGGAATAGTGGAATAGTGGGGTTTCATTTTTGGGATAATGGAATTTTTCCAAAACAGCTGTGAAATGTCACACCACTTTATGAATACACTAAATACCACTGAATTGAACTGTACATTTAAAAAAATGTTTTCATTGATTTTTTTTGTTTTTCTCATGCTCTCAATTTCCTGTCAAGATTTTTTATATGTACTTTATATATCTCCTCAGGACTAACTTGTATTGGTTTGTACCCAAAGTCAATCAATCAAGACCTTACAGGATTCAAACAAAATAATTCCTCAGGAATTCTCTTGTTGAAGAAAAAGCTGTCAACTTTGAATAGCATCTTTCCCGGAAGGCACTCAGTTCTTCAGAAATGGTCTCGCGGTCTAACATGGTGAAGACACACACAAGGGAAATGCCAAGGAGCGACCGAAAGGCCCAGGGACTGTGTAAATCACCCAGCCTCTATGATGACAAGACAGTGATTACAAGTGACTAGGGGACAACGTGGAAATGAGAAAGGATTTCTGGGATGCTGGGGTCTGGCAATACAACCAGAGTTGTTAACAAGAAATGAAAAGTACAGCCCATCTAGTGTGGTCAGGGGTTGAACATCTGACCTATGAACAAAAAGGTCCCTAGATTCCTAGTCAGGGCACATGCTTGATCCCCAGTAAGAAGTGTGCAGGAGGTAGCCAATCAATGTTTCTCTCTCTCTCTTTCTCTCTAAAATAAAATAAAAAACTTTTTTTTTTAAAGAGAGTCTCAAAAAAAAAAAGGCGGTTACTATTAGCAGGTTCTGCCCAGGCCTAACCTAGGTCTCTTAGCAACTTTCAATTCATCCAGCACGGCCACCTGCGGTGGCCCACATCCCCTCATCTCTACTGGCTGCTCTCTCTGGTCTACTATGAAGCGCAGGGTGCTGCTTTAAACAATGTATCTTCCCACATCTATGCTTTCCTCTCTCTGTTTCAAAGAAAAAATATATCCATTTCTCCTGCTTCAAACACTCACTTGCTTCAGTTCTTCCAATCTGCCTTCTGCCCAAACTTCTACTGAAACATACTCTCAAGTCACCAATGAGCCGACTTGCTCAAAATCCAGTCCTCCTTCCCTTGTTACTTTTTGTTACAACCTTACCTCCCAGTCCTTGGCCCTCCCTGACACATGCTCACATGCTGACTTCTAATTCTTCTGTCTCCTCAGCTACAGCCTTCACACATGATTATTCCTTCCAAGCCCCCCGCCCTCCCCCATTCTCCTAATACCTATCTCTGAGGGCATCAATTCTTCAAATACCACGATTACCCTTCCCATTCCCATAGTCCTCATGCAGCTGAAGTCCTCAGCACCGCCTACCTCGGAAATCACAGGGCAGGGCTGGGCCTGACATACGTGCAGGCAAATCCCCGGTTCCTATGCCCGAGCTTCAGCCCATCATGCCTTCGTGCCTTCGTTCCAAGGCCTTCAAAAGGTCCTCAATGAAAAATTAGGTCAAGACACCTTAGCCTTGCCCTTAGGGGCCTCTACAATTCTAACAGCAACCGATTCCCCTCCCACCTTCTCTCCCTTCCTGATCCCACACCAGGTGCCATTAACTGGACTTGTAAAACTCTTCCACCTCAACTCAAAGCAGTGCCCTCTCTGAAAAGTTATTCCCTTTCCCCGGAAAACAACATTTCACCTGCCCATCCAAAACCCGTACCAAGGCTCATTTCTGATCTTACACCCCCCACTCAAAAATCAGATCTTGGCCCTGGCTGGTGTGGCTCAGTGGATAGAGTGGCAGCCTGCGGACACACATGTGCAAGATTTGTTATAGCAGTATTCCAGTCCAGGTTCAATTCCAGTCAAGGGCACATGCCCAAGTTGCAGGCTCAATCCCCGGTGGGGGAGGCGTGCAGGAGGCAGCCGATCGATGATTCTCTCTCATCATCGATGTTTTTCTTCCCTCCCTTTCTCTTTGAAATCAATAAAACTATTTTTTAAAATCAATAAACATATCCTCAGGTGAGCATTAAAAAAAGACTAATTCAATATCCTATATTTTTATTCCTTTAATCATTACTTTTCAAATAACATACCCCAATTAACCACCCCTCCAGGTGATTCTGATACATGCTAAATTTTGAGAACCCTACATTTAGTGCATGTGTAGTTTTACTTCTAGGGGTAAAAAGCACCCACCCTCCTTCCCACCAGATACCAGGGATAATTTCTCTGAAATCTTTTTATTTGCTTCTTAGTAATACTCGGACCTACTCTGGCTTCAATTATGAAATCCCAATCTACATTTTAGTATGTTTCACAGGTATCTTACTTCCCCAGTATAACTGAACTTCTTAGTCCAAAGTACATAATCCTTCCTCACAAAATGAGCTTTCTAAAATGGCCAATAAACACAGGTAAAGGTGTTTAACCCCTTGGTCATCAGAGACATGCAATTAAAGCCACAATAAGATACTGCCACCTACCCCCAGCTTGACTAAAATTTAGAAAGTGCTGTTGGAAAGCAACTGGAACATGCATTTCCTGCTGGTGGGATTGTACAACTACTTTGCTAAACTTGTTTAGTAGTGTGTACTAAAACACAACATTCCCTCTGGTATAAACCCACAGAAATATTTAATAAATAAGTACACCAAACACATGTGCAAGATTTGTTATAGCAGTATTCCTAACAGGCAGAAATAATCGCCAGTCAACAGCTGAATAGCTATGTTGTCAGACAAATTAAGACTTTAAACAAAAAAAGATTACAAGAGACAAAAAAGACATATATTGCATATACTAGTATTGATGAAAGGTTCAATACTGGAAGAAGATACATTAAAAACATATACAGACCGAACACAGGACAATGAGCACTGGTATAGGGAGAGGGGGAAGGGGAGGGGGGAACGGGAGAAACAGAGAACACGTGAAGGAGATACATCCACTGACTGCCTCCAGCATGCACCCTGGCAGGGCGGCTGGGAGTGAACCTGTAACCCAGATACACGCCCTTGACAAGGAACAGAAATCGCCACCCTTCGGTGCTCATGCCAACGCTCAAACAACTGAGCCACACAGGCCACGGCATCATCGGTTGATTCTTTTATGTGCCCTGACGGGGAAATGAACCCACAACCTTGGCATATTGGGGGTGGGGGGCACAATGCTCCAACCAGCTGAGCTACCTGGCCAGGCTCAAGCACAATTTAACCCTGGCAAGGGCTGATCCCCCCCTCCCCCCGCCCATACACTCCATTTTAACACCTTTAAGGCTAAGAGTTACTCCTCCCCAGGGAAGCCTCCCTGGCTACTCTAGGACACATTTTCCTTCGTGCCTGAATTCCTATAGCACTTAGTCCACTCAGTGCTGCTTCACAAAGAACTATGCAATCAGGCTCCCTCCTCTCTGGTTCCAGGTTCATCACCCAAGAACTGCAGCTGCCAAGTCACCACAGTTTGGCAGCTCCTGTGTTGAGCATCTGCCCCTCTGGTTGAAAGTGCACGTCATAGCTACCATTTGGATGGTCGCTTAGGCATACATACACACACACACACACACACACACACACACACACACACACACACCCGAGCAC